AAGTTTTTAAGTATTCTCCAAAAAATAAACTGCTTTCTGTACCCTAATACTCATAAATCAGCTAAATATTTGTTTAAGTTTTTCCAAAAATTTTTGTTTTTACCTGATGAGAAACTTCCCCTTAAAAATCGCTGGCTTGAAATTGGTTTTAGACCCATAGTTTCTTAAGCGAAGTTGCTCAGAATGATACGTAGAGCAGTTTCCGCATATGCGATTTTATGAAAAATAAATCGTCCCGCCCTAGTGTGCATGCCCCATTATCGCTATCGCCCAATTTGCTAAACGACTACGAACGACGTCCCGACGTCGGATGAAAAGCACAGTTCGCCGACGGGTCGCAAAGACGATTCGCCGGCGAGCCGCAAAAAACGATACTGCAAAACGATGCTCAAAATCTTTAACAAAAACCATACAAATCCAATTTCAAATTGTGTGTAAATTTACAAAACAAAATATAACAAATCAGCTAGCTTTCCTAAAAATTTCAGTGTAATAGAGTACAAATTTTGTATGGAAAAAATGAATTCAATTCGACGTCGTTTCGAGTTCACCCAAACCGAGTTCATCCAAACAACGTCGATTGGAACTCGCCCTCGCTCTATGGCAATTTGGGCATAATCACTATCGCAATCGCGCTGGTGTGAGCATGGCTTAATTTTTTGCGTTTTCCTTTCGATCGTCATTCTTAAGAACAGTGTTGCCATTTTAGCCGTTTTTCGGCTAGATTTAGCTGGAAGCGAAAGCAAACAGCCGGAGAAAGTTCGGTTTAGCCGGCAGCCAATTTGTTAGCCGATTTGACAAAAAAATTGCAGTTTTTAGCCGATTTTTCTATTGGCAATATTTTCTTAAAATTTATATTTGTATAAATGTTTCCATTTTTACAAATTTAGCGACCCAAAACCTATTTTTCATGTCGAACTGTGTTACATATGTATGTATATATAATTGAAAGACAATTTTTTCTGATCCGAAAAGTCTTCAAATACTGGGCCGATTTCAGAGATTTTTATTTTTAAGCACATATACAGTAAGGTTTTAGTTAAATTTTGCAGAAATTTCATAATTTTTGCCCAAAGACCGAGACTTGGATTTATATGGTGTTTGTTAAGTAATCAGCTATATTTTCATAAAAAATAATAAACATTAAATAAACTAAAGCAAAATAGCCAAAACTTGCTAAAATGTCGCGTCCCAGTTTATATTTGGGTCACTGTATTTTTTCCAAAGAACGCAGCGGGGATTTTCTCATAATATTTTTGTTATGAATGTCTTAAATTTCAGTGTGGAAAAAACTCTCTGGAAAGACAATGGGGGCGTTCATAAGACCGTAGCTGTTGTCTAACCGTTGACTGTTTGTCTTAGAAACGCACAGTTGAGTAGTTCCGCACAGCTCAACAGTTGGCAATATTCTGTGTTCGTTAACTGAACTCAATGTGTTGGAACGTGTCGAAAAGACTTACGGCGTTTATATTAAATGTAACGCCGTCTTGTTAGGTGGCAGCTATAAACGAATTTATTCAATTTTATATAACTGATGTGATTAAGTAACTAAAATATTTTATAATAATACTACGTTTTTAAATATATGTTTATTAAGATGTTTGCTTTATAATTATACACTATTTAATTCATTATAACATTTAAAGATTTTTTCAACACAGCGGCAGCTCAGCGTTGAATTGGAAATATTATCGGCGCAAATATCTCTATTTATTGCAACTTCATCTGTATTCATTTAACAGTTGTTCATTTGACAGCATATTCATCAAGCCGTTTCTAAGACGTTATTGTTGGATTCAACAGTTGCCAGTAGCTTCGTAGCAGTTGAGCTAAACAGCTACGTCTTATGAAAGCGCCCAACATCTATGAATATTTGTATCGTGGTGCCAATATTCTTTAGTGTTGCTTATTATTTCCCTCTGGCAGGCATGTGCAGAGAGTGAGCAGGTCTTTAAAAACGGGAACGTTTCAAATATATGGACATCAAAATAAAATTACATAGTTTAATTGTTAAAAACTTAAAAATCGACCGGCTTGTTATACGCTTAACATTTCGTCAAGTAAAACTGAACTGGAACAATAATTTAGTACTATTACAATTATTGTGGAGGATTTTCCTTAAAGAATGCTAGTTTGAAAATAAGAAAAGGCTAGAAAAAAGCCACGAAGCTAGATCCTAAATTTCGAAGCTAAACGATAAAGAAAAAGGTTAGCCTCGAAAAATCAAACTGGCAACACTGATCTTATGGGATATGCGTGGTAACAAAAACTCACCACGGCATGACCGTAACGTAGATGCTGCCTCTCTCTCTCTCTCTCTATCAACAGCAAACTTTATATGTTTCTACGCACTTCTATGCTACGCTACGTAGACGTTCGTGAGTAACCGCGCCCTTAGAAACGCTTTCCATCAGAAACTAGTGATAATTATCGGCACGCCAAAAATTTCTCGCACATAGAGGAATAAGAACGAAATGTGGCAATTACGTAAGGATTTAAAGGGTAGAAGCTCAGTTAGTGTAGACTTGACTTAACTTGCCGTAAGAAATCGAATGTGATTACTCAACACGTGAACTTAGGCTCGAAGCGAATTTTGTTTTTAGAATTTTATTTCTCAGCCGCCTTTACTCAACACGACAACTTATTCCCGAAGCGAAAATATTTTCTTGGGGAGATTCATGAAACGCCGCAAGGTTGCAAATGTCGCATTTGTCGCAAAATTTGCCACCTAGCGTCACAGCTGATTAGTTTTGTATGGAAACTTTCCTGCGACAAAATTGCGACATAGCCATAGTATTTGAGCTAGCAATCTTTGCAAAGTCAAAGTCGCGAAACACATATTTTTTATTGTCTTCAAATACTTCAAGAAAAAGCATATCAGTTGAGGCTGCTTCGAAATTTAATTGTAAAAACTTTTCTTTTTCTCTAACGTGCGGCATTTTTAAAACATTTTCCAATTTGAATCCGACAACATTGCCATTTCGCCAAAAATGATACTTTCCGACTTTTTTGGAATCGCACTTTTTTTTTTGAATTTTATTACTGGGCCCTTAAATATGGATGCAGTTTACGTGATCTAAGTTTAAACTGACACAGAAACTGAGTAAGCTATCATTTAATTATCTATTGCTTACGAAATGAATGCAAATGGTTATAATGCACGTAAACGTAATGTAAAACGGAAGAATCTAAAATTAATAGATCCTTACGAATTCGTCGCGATTTGTTACGATTCCCTCCGTGCATTATAACCAAGACATTAGCGTAAACTTATATATGCACTGATCATGTAACAAAGGAAACATTCCGGCAAGTAGAAAAAAGATGCCGACGTAAACAAGCGAAGATAAGTGCATTCTACCGTAAAGCAGCCATTGAACGCGCACAGGAAAAATTAGAATGAAATATACGAAGTATACCTCCGATGATAATACTGGCATGGAAAACCTTTTGAAAAAAACTATACACATATTAAATAAAACAATGAATTTCTCCATTTGATGACACATTTATCACTTATTGAAGCAGCGTGTACTGATTCTAAACTCCATTACATTTCCTTAAGATTTTTTGATAAACGTCATTCATGTATAATTTTTTACCAGCCCTTTGTAATTATCTCTCCTTTGTTTCTTAAGTAGTCGCAAGTTCTCTTTAATACAAATTTTGTTATACACACTTGCTGCTCACTCGGGGAAAATCGATTATAGTACTTTCCAGTCGAATGTGATTATCGATGTTTCCACAATCCTTAAACCCCCTATTTGAGTTTTTCGAGGTTGTGGGTTCATGGACATGGTTTTTGACATGAAATTATAAAATCTTGATTCTTATAGCTCAAAAGAGAGTAATCCAAATATTCTACCAAGGCTTATTTTAACATTTATAGCTGTTGGGAGTCGAACTGTGTTAAAATCATGCCCGTCGTTGCTTCGTTTGAACTTTCCTAGCAGACTGCTTTCTATTGTAGATAAATATAGTATGTATTTCAAAAGTATAAAACAGCCACTAAGCACCAAATTTTTGCAATTGCCAGCATAGCTCATTTTAAAACGAAGGTATATTTTTCTTCCACAACTATGTATACCATTCCATTATCGCTTAGCACATGAATGTCTGGATGTTTGTGAGAATAGCAGCACAGAATTTCTGATAAATTCCTGCCTTGCATCAGCTTATCTACATACATACATATCGTATTCTGGTTTTTGCATACTTTGGCTCTATTGCATTTTCACTTCATTGTGCATTTCGGTTCAACAATTAGTTTATAACTATTTGCTGGAACGTCGACACATTTTTAGACCCGAAGTAGTTGTTCCAGAACCTTTAACCTTTGTCACAATTATTATTTCCATGTATTGCTTTCGCTATCTTAAATATCACTAAATCCGTGTATGTTATTTGTTTGTGTCATATGGCTGCGTTAAATTAATTTGCAAATATGTACATACATATATACATAGTTGTATATGTATGAAGGTGTATAACTTTTAAACGAGTAAATATTGGTATACATAAGTATTTATGCATATAAGAAAGCATGCAGTACAATGTGTATGCAAATTCTTGTCTACTACTCCTTCATCCAATCGCGGCAGCTTTGTTAATTTACGTATCCATTTTAATACGTAGTTTAATTGCTACATTACTGTAGTTGAACGCATTCTAGTTGTCTGAAGTATCACATCGATTTACCTCAATTTGTTTTTGCATGCATAAGCAGTCATATTTCTGACATTTTGTACTCGAAAGTACTTCCATATACTCATCACTGCCGCCGCCGCCGCTGTGTAGTTAAGTGTTTTACATTAGTCCAATGCTTTGCTAAACTATTCATTATCTCGCTTTTTCTGTATAACTTCTTTTGTGCAAACCTTTTTCACTTTAAACGAATTTCATCACACAAACCAGGAACATTTAAAGATCGTTTTCCCACTTTTAAAGGCATACTGTGTATTGTAATAGGTAGAAGTGATAATAAATAAGTATGTATGTACCTACGCTTACAACCCTTTGCAAATAACATATTCTCTACTACAGCCAAAGTAAAATATTAGTGCGCCACAGAACAGGTCACAACTGTATTTGCTTGCTTTAAAGTTCCAACAAAAATCGCACAATGGCGTATGTAGTGTTCGTGTTGTTAGCCGCATATTCGGCTTTATGTTCGTGAAATTACCGAATAGAACACGAGCAATACACGAGTGCCTCTCGTGCAAACAAAGTATTGTACATTCGTGTTTTTGTATGTATTCATGAATAGTAGTATTGGTGTACATATGTGCTTATGAATACAAAGAATATTTCAGTAGGTTTATGTACATATAACGTACTTCTGTTACGTAACGCATAACCTAAGAAAATTATTTGTATTTTCCAGCAGAAATTTTTATAAATTTGTTCAGATACTGCCTTTAGACCTTTTATATTTCATAATTCATGATTTTAAATTCTTCTATTTCCTTCCTCATTCACACAGCGAAAGCGCATACATACAATACAACATCTCATTTTTTTTTTCTTTGCAATACTTTTGCAATTCCACACAGGCGACTATTATTTTCAACTTGAGACACTTCACAACCAAATTTTAGAATAGTAAATGTTTTTTATTTACTTAATAGATAATTATTACAATTGATGCTTGTAATTAGTACATTTTAATATGGCCAGATTATCTGCTTGCAAAAACTCAACTGGAAATCTAATAATGTAATAAGAAACTGCTTACTGCAGCTACCTTCCTGACACAAGCGAACACTGCAAAACCGAACCGTGGTATATGAAAAAGAAGAAATATTAAAGCGAACACAGAAGTGACAAAGGCGAAATTTGTGGAACGAACCACAAACATATCCATGTACATCTATACATAAGTACACATTGTAGGTATACGAAAGAACGACGAGCACTAGGTAGCGCTTTGCCTGAAAACCAGTCAATCAGTCGTTGGTTGGCAGCTGTGGGATATAGTCAATTTACGGATGGCGGAATAAAAATGTATATAGAACAGCAAAAATAAATACTAGCACAGCTGAATACACACACACATGTATATATGTACACAAATACAAAAACAAGTATAGCAATGGAGCTCATAGTACATATGGATCTATAAATAAATATGTACTGCTTGGGTACTTTTTGTTGCTAAAACGCTGGCTTAAAAATTTAAAACGTGAATGAGCACAGCAATTGCAATTGAAAGTTCCCTAAATAAATGGAGAAAAAACATGAGCTTCTAGAAAGTTTGCTGTTGTAGTCAAAAAAGGAAAATAGGCATTTGCACAAAACAAAATACGACAACATTCTTGGCTAACCAAATACATACATGAAATCTTATAACGTAAACTTACTAAGGACTTTGTGGTTCTTACACTCTTATAACTGCTCATGGGTTTTTACTTATGCAAGTAAATTAAATTAAGTAAATTATTAATGAGGTTTTATTGAATTTTCAATTTTTCTTGAGGTATTCGTTTAAACAAAACTACACTATCGATCCAGCTGTCCGATTGGACTATAAAATCTGGACGAAGCTTGCAACAACAAAGTTGTGCTTGGGAATGTTTATCTGTCTTTTTTTTTGTGTTAAGCGGTTTAGTACGAGGAAAAAAGCATAATTAAATTGCTATCTGTACCATTTTTTTGCTTATGTGTTAGGGTGACAAAAATTAGCAAGCACATCGTTTACATATGTTTGCATGTTTTTGCCATTATTCCTCGTCATCGCTTGACGTCAGTAAATAAAATTAAATGGATTGCTATTTTGAGCGAGCACTTGAGAAAATAAAAGAAACGTATGCGATTTATTTGACACCAAATAGTACAGGGTTGTATTTATCAGCAATACACATTAGATCCTCATACATATAGTCAATGACTTGAAAAAGAATCTCGGTATTCTAATTTAATTTTAATCCTTTTCTATGTATTTGATTTACGATTCTAATATATTTTCCCTTATATTCAGCCTTATCATGAGATTATTTTTCCCCGAACCGGTCCACTTTTGATTTCCACGGTTTAACTATGGGCGGATGAAAAATTTTCGGGTGCATTCTTTTAGGGCGAAACTCAGGCTAATTGATTTCTTAATCGTTAATTGATTATGGATCCATTTATATGCCATTTCATTTTGTGCAGTTTTTTATTTCAGAAATAAGTACTTTACATCTACACACTCGGATACGGCTGGGCTTGAGTCGATTTATCTGAGTAATTAGTGTATGACTAAATCTCAACGCATTTATGCGTTTATTTTGCAGTGTTCTTATTTTCATTTAACTTTGCGTTTTGCAATTTCAAAAAATAATCCTTGGTTTTGTTTTAAAACGCTCCGGTGTTCGCATGTTTTTATTATCGATGTGTTTCATTTTACGCATGTTTTTATTATCGATGTGTTTCATTTTACACTTCCTTTCACATGAAGTTGAACAGCCATCTTGGAAATCAATTATCACACACAATGTTGCTACATGTTCGATATGGAAAACGGTCCAACTTAGTCTGAAGAAATGCCATTTATTCTCAAAAAAAAAGAAATTTTTCGAATAAAAAGTTATACCATTTATCAAAAAAGTAAACGGAATTATTAAATTTTCATATAAAAAATAGGTTTTATTTTGATATAAAAAATCCTTTAGTTCGTTTGATGAATTTTGTTCTATGGTCTCCGTCGTAAAGTCGCACGTAGTCATATGAGAAGAATATGGTGAGCGGTCGATTTTGAATCACGTCAACGAGAAGTAGCATTATCGTTATCTATAGCTTGGCAAATTTCTGATGGATTTTCTCACATAAACGCTTCATAACGCCAATTCTGTAATATTCTCCATTTTTTGTCTGTCTATTTGGAACGAATCCATATATGCACACGAGCGCGAATATCGAAGAAAAAATCGGCATTATCGAACGGCTTTGGCATACTATTTTGGTCCAAATTTATTCCCTATTCCTATCCTACTTTCTTGCTTGCATGAAAAACTTGTTTACTTAAGTCATATCAAATAGGTAGAATTGTTCGTACTCTTCAGCCTTTTAAATTAGAACGTATTCGGTACAAGTATACCATTTTGGAACGTAACTTAATAACTTTTCGGGAAACTTTCGCTTATTTTCATAGGCATTACAACCCGTTTTCTAATGTGGGAAACTTTTCCAATAGCCTCCCTCTTTTGTAAAATGGCGTAAACATTGGTTAAACCTACTTGGAGGAATTCGTGTCAATGCCATTTTTAATAGCGAAATTTGTTGGATGTGAGTCCAAAAGTAAAGATGGTACCGGAAAGAGAATTTTTCCATCCATCGCCAAAAATGTATACACATAAAACTACACACTTATTTGCTTGTTAGGTATATTTATCAACATTTAGATAAACAATTTTTCGGCATATAGGTACAATTTTAAAATTTGTTTTTCATCCCCAGTGCGAGAAAGTATTTTATGACGTCAGCGAGGTGAATGCCCATAACCTCGAATAGAACGTTTTTATTTTATGAACAACTGTCAATTGTTATCATTGGGGTGTTTAAGAAACTCAGATCCAAATTTGACAATTGTTCGTTTACTTTTTCTAATTCACATTTAAGCTGTTCCTGTACTCCAGGGTTTAGACAGAAATAGTCCGAAGTAATCTTGGTGTAGAATACCAACAGTTTAGCAGAAAAGAAAGAAAAAATGTGACTCGATAGAACTTTTCATGCTGATTTCAACCCTACCAAATTTGGCACAAATTAAAACCAAATACAATATAAGAAGCTAAAGTTAAACTTTTATATTTTTTACGTTTATAATATCTCGGAAACTATTTGACTGATCACAAAAGTATTGATGCTAATTTAAAGATAATTAAGTACCTTTAACGCGACGTATCTAGTATAACCCTTTTTTAAAACCAATTTTATATAAATGCCATTTAAATAAAAATATATTTATATATTTTTGGTTATTAGATATTTCTGGTTTAAAAATATTAAAAAAGGAGAAAATTATGCACATCAAGTGAAAACCCCCCTAATTACCTTTATTTTGGCGTCATTAGTTTTTAATAGGTTATGTTGTTCAGAAGATATTAATATTTAAAAAATCAAAAAAATTAACTTTAACCATTGATATCTGCTTTATTTTTTACTTCCGCCAGAAAATTTTGGAGGGTTGAAATCAGCATAAAAAGTTCTATCGAACCACATTTTTGGTTTTTGCATAGCTATTTGTTGATGTTCTACTCGACCTCGGACAATTTCTGATTAAATCCTGCAGTACGGGAACAGGCTAACTATCGACAAGTTGGTTGCGGGTTTGGATTATCAAAGAAATACAAACCAAATTCGGCCAAAAAAAGGGTTTCTTTCCCATAAACTCCAAATAAAAGTGGTGTTGAAGGAGTTTAACGAAAATTGTTTGTATGATAAACTCAGAGTTCAAGAGCCGAGTTTAGCATTAAACTCCAAAATGGCCCATACACACGAGTTAATGGCTCAACGTGAACATAGTATAACTTTGGATCTGAGGTTTACTTTTTTACTAGTAAAGAAAAGCAATAATAATATGGTGACCCTTTTCTTCGTCAACTACCCTTTTTTGTGACTTTTTGAAAATTCTCAACGCCAATGCAATTAGAAGTACGTTTACATGCAAATATAATCTCAACCAAACCTCGTTTGTTAATCACTTCGTTTACACAGGAAAATATCAGATTTTTAGCCGTCAAATTTGTTGTGCTTGTTATTCTCACAACTGAAGGAAAAGTTAAGTTTATTCTCTGCGTCACCGCGATCACTTTTTCTGCTATATTAAGCTATTAAAATATATTTCAACTTAATATTTTATTAAAAATACCTTTAGAAACCCTTATCGTGCCTTTTTATTTACTTTTACATTTCACATTTCTCCTCTTCTTCGCAAAAATAATCGATAAAACTAGGATAGACACTAAAAAGTTATCAGTTTAATCTGAGATTATTTTATAATTAACGAGAGACTAATTTTGTATGGCTAATCTCCTTATATGTAAACCTAGTATAAGTTTGAATGGTATTCTAAACTGAAGGACTTCTAAAATGCATTACGGTAGCACTTGTAACACGTGCATACTGCAAATGAAAAAAGTTACATAAGGTGTATGTGTTATTGTATAGCTTTAAAATATTAAAATTTCATATAAACATCGGAATTAATCAAATTGAAAGCATATCCTGCCAATTTTTACGTTTATTTTTACAACTTTAGTCAAATAAAGCTTAGTATCCAGCTCTCAATAAAAGCAAAAACTCCATAAAAAAGGTTTAATGGCGAAAAAAAATTCATGTGTCAAATTTCCTTAAGGCAGAACGCAGTTCTTATGAAATTTGAAACGCTTTCTACTACGGTTTTCTAAAATTGTTTGTGAAACAGAGCACAAGGCAACCCATGTTGGCAATACATATATCGTCGTTTGAAGTACAAAACCGCGTATCGTCATTCTGCAAAACCGCGTAACTGACATTGGCTGCCAAAAATTGGATTTGCTCACACAAGCTCTTGGCTCAATCCGTATCCATTCGTCCTGAAATATACTAGCCAGAAATGCGATTGCTTTATAAAAAAGAGAATTTTTTGTTAATACGCAGTTTTGCACTTTAAACGACGATATATATATCTGTGTTCATATGGAAAAGTAGCTTATGTCGAAGGGTTGGCTTTAGTATAATGCGGCATTCGTTTTATTCTTTAAACGACAAGGAATTTTTTGATGAGACTTAATAAGAATATTGACTTGCTAGTATCGGAACTATTTCTTGCACGTTTATTTTCTAAAAGTTGTTCAACGGCTCAGCGCCAGCGAATCATTCGGAATCGTATACTGCAAATGCCGATTTATATTAAAGTCAGCCTTTCGACATAAGCTACTTTTCCATACGAACACAGATATATATATATATATATATATATGCCCCTTCCATTACTTCGTGAGGAAAGAGTGAGACAACAGGCAGGCAGGTGAAATATCAGATGTCAAAATTCCTTGGAATCACACACGAAATAATGGCAATTATTTTCTTGACAGTGTCCTTTAGAGCTGGTTACTAAGCTTTAAGCATCCCCGCTTCGCTTATGGCGCGGTTCAAACACATCCTGTAAAAAATAATTTTACAGGATATTTTTATATTTTGACAAGATATTTTCCATACAGAAGAGTATTTTTCACTTGAGTATGCAAAATTTTACTCTATCGCTTTAAAAAATTCTGTCCACTGGCAATTTCTTTTGGATTTTGCTAACATTGTTAACATTTACTAACACAATAAAGTTTGAAGAAAACTAACACATCAATGTTTGCTAAAAAAAAAACAACCAAGTGGCAGCACTTTTTCCAACGGCACCCTGCAGCCCTACTCACACACACGCACGCACTTGCGCTACACGAAATGGCGTCGGAAGTTTTAATAATTAAAACTAAAATGCAGAGCACAAAAAACACATCAACTGCATGAAGATTTTTTTTGTTTAATCCTTTTATTACACTTAATTAATCCATTTGTTTGTGTGTGTAGATATGTATACATACTTTAATGCCTTCTAAATAAACTCACTTGCGTACACTTTCCGAACACGAAAAATCCATAAAAAATACACTTCACCACGCGATGGCCGAACGAACAATGAAAGATGTAAAAGCAAAACGGATAGAGAAAAGTGGAATGTGGAATGCAGTGGATGGTATTTGGGTGTGTCGTGTAAAAACTGTGCACTTATTTATACGAGTGCTTGATCGCAAATACCAGTTAAAGTAATCGCAAGAATGGTATGAACATTTTCTGCATAGTTAAATAATGTTAGTTGTAGGGATTCATGATGC